GCAAGCGGAGAAAAGCCGCCCTATGTCAGACACAGCGGCGGAGCTTTCCAAAAGCCCCGCTGAAGCCCCGCGGGCCGCCTCTATGGCAGACACAGCGCTGGGGCTTTTGGTGTTGTGTCTGCCAGTGGTGGGGCTTCGGTGGGGCTTTCGGAAGCCCCAGCGCTGTGTCCGCTATAGAGGCGTTCCACGGGGAGGCAAGCAGGCAAAAGCCACCCTACATCAGACACAGCGGCACCGGGGCTTCGGCGGGGCTTTCGGAAAGCCCCGCCAAAGCCCTGGTGCAGCTTTCGGAAAGCCCCGGCGTGGTTTTCCAAAAGCCCCCCGAAGCCCCGGCACTGTGTCCGCCATAGAGGCTTTTGGACGCCCCGGCGCTATGTCCGCCATAGAGGCGGGATGCTTTCAAGAGGCAAAAGCCGCCCTGCTGCTCCGGCGCTATGTCTGCCCCAGCACTATGTCCGCCATAGAGGGACGCTTTCAAGAGACAAACGCCGCCCCACCGCTATGTCCGACCGACATAAAAAGCCAAAAAGCCCTGCCGCTGTGTCCCACATTAAAAAAGTGCCAGTAAAACACACACACACACACAGACAAATTACTTACAATAATAAAATTACATACAAATTACATTAATTTTGAATTCCTCCCCCTCCCTCCGACCCACATACCTTTTCCAGCTGTTTCACAGAGGATTTCAACTCTGCTCTTGTCTGCCATGATGAAAATGTAAAAATGTAAAAGGGAAAAGGCAAGAGCTGCTGAGGTCAGGCTGGGTTAGGTGCTGCCAGAGTCCCCAATGGATGACTCTGCTTAACAGTTTAAAAAAGCCCTTTTAAAAAGTGCCCTCTACAGGAGGAGGCGAGAGAACCACGTGCCTCATCTACATAAGGAATTTTTCGGCTTTTAACCCTTGCTTAACTCTGCTCAAGTGATCATAAAGATAGACTAAATGAGGCACGTGGTTCTCCCGCCTCCTCCTGTAAAGGGCACTTTTTAAAGAGGCTTTTTAGACAAGCACTAAGCAGAGTCATCCACTGTGACTCTGGCGGCAACTACCTCAGCCTTTTTCCTTTTAATTTTTTTTTCTTTTCATGATGACAGTGGTGAGGCTCTGCCTCCCCTGACTGCACGTCCCTGGTATAATAGAAAAGAGCAAAGAAATACTATTTATTTAATGCCTGTGTTCACAATATTGACTGATTTAACATGTCAGTTAAAGATTTAAAAGCTGCCCTACATATAGAAAGAGATAAAGATCTTAGAGAGGAATATGGGAGACAAGTCAAAAAGTGTGGGGGGGAAGCATAGCAATTAAAGTATTGAAGCAGACAAAAGATAATGGATAGATGCTTTTTCATTTTTGGTGTTGTTTTGATTTGATTTGATTTTCCTCTCTCCTTCCCTCCTTTTTTTTTTGTAGGTAGGTGACATGATTAGATGTTAGGTAGGATAGAAAGAAAATGTTTTTAACAAGGATGACACAATTAAAAGTTAGAATAAGAGATAGAAATAAGAGAAAAGGGGAACATTAGTGAATACACTTTTATCTAATAAAATAAGAGACATTAATAAGAGAAAACGTGGAATAATTGAATAATGACAGATTGCAACTTTATATAAATATGCATTACTATTAAAAATATATAAGTTGGTTCAAAGTAATAACTATGACTAATGCTATTCGTTTTATTTGCATCGGTATGTGGAGAGGGAATGGAGACTTTACAGTATTCTTCCTGCCACACCCACCAAGCCACGCCCACAGAACAGTTGGTAAAAATGTTTGAATCCCACCACTGCTCTAAGCCAAAAAGGCAAAAACGGAAGCAGTATGCTCCAACCCATAATTGGGTAGATTAGGTTGCCTTGATAGACAGGTCCCACTTATGGTTAGGGCACTGAAAGCTGGACAGCCATGAAGAGACTGGACAGCCATTTGTCTAAAATGATACAGGGTCTCCTTCTTGAGCAGGGGGTTGGAGGAGAAGACCTCCAAGGTCCATTCCAAACTGTTATTCTGGATCTGAATCGGCAATGTTTTATTTTGTATGGATGTTTTCATGGGAGTATGCTTTATTGCAGTGGTCACTAACCTTTTGGACACCAGAGACCAGTTCCGTGTAAAACATGGACCGGAGTGTGTGTGGTTTTATGTGCTATGTAGATGAAACGGTATAGGGTTTCCTGCCTAGGCAGGGGGTTGGACTAGAAGACCTCCAAGGTCCCTTCCAACTCTGCTATTGTATTGTATTGTAGATCTTCCACATGTACAGATGAAGTTTTGCTTGCTTGCATGGCCTGGTTCCAGTCCACGAACTGGGACTTTGGGACTTCTGCTTTATTGGACTCAGTGAGACTTATTTATGAGTGTGTGTGTGTGTGTGTGTGTATATATATATATATATATATATATATATATATATATATATATATA